ATGGCTAGTCTAGGTCTTTTCGTATTCCCCTGTGTTCTTATATAAACCCGATGTATGCATGCTTTTATCAACTCAGTCATTTACATTCACTCTGACCTGAGATTCAAACTTCCGCTGCAACACTACTCTGCGATCAACCCTGAGCGATCCTTCGCTAAGTCCCACTTGGGATTGTAACAAATCTTTAGGCAACAGCACTTCAACAGACTGGAAATCCGGTTTATATACGCACAAAAGAGCAATCCTATGTGATGTCATGTGTAGAAAAGAGCACTCCATGTGATGTCATGTGTAGAAAAGAGCACTCCATGTGATGTCACGTGTAGAAAAGAGCAATCCCATGTGAGGAGTGAGTAGTAGTGAGCTTACTCACCGGGGTTCAGGGTTTAGCTTTCAACTCACACCGTACAACAATTGCAAGATTTTACCCAAATTTATAGCAAGTTGGTTTAGCCCGAAGTGAGTGGTAGCAAGTTGGATGAGCCCTCGACAAAAGATGTGTGAAAATAGTAGGTAGAGTTAGGAGCCATAGCTAGGTAAGTCCTAGCTAGGCAAGAGAAGTTTAGGCAAAAGAGGGGAGTTCACTAGCAGCAATGAGGATACATATAGCAAACCCTAGATGGGTTGTACTCGCTATAGAGCACCCCACTATAGGCTAGAGAATAACATTCTGACACACCCCCATAGCCAAAGTGGGGTGTAATCAGTACAATGAGCAAGCAGGTATAGAGCAGGAGTTCACAAAGGTAAGCAAAGCTAGAGCTAATCACAGCGGGCAAGTGAGGAGGAGGAGGAGCTGTGGAGGTAGAGAAGATGGGAGGCAACGACTGAAGCTGCAGAAGCACGGGCACAGGAGCGGCTGACTCAGAGGCTACCGAAGCAAGGGCGACGGACTACTGGAGTAACTGGCTCGGCGGCTATAGAAGAGCGGCAGGAGCAACGGACCCACTGGCGACTGGTGCAGCAGGCTCACTGACTACCGAAGCAAGGGCGACGGACTACAGGCGCTGCAGGCGACACGACAGGTACCTCCACACAACCTCCTCCAACTGCCCCACACCCTCGACACACACCCACTGCTCAAACCCTAGCTCCACTCCCACGCACCCCCTTAAAACCCTAAACCCTAGGCTCCCACACACCCACCCCCCTCAGCGGCAGCTGCAGCAGTGGGAGACCAGGGAGGAGGAGGAGCAAGGGGAGTAACACACAACCGCCACCCCCACACTCCTCACCCCCAAACCCTAATTCAGGAGAACGGGCAGCAGTAGGGGTGGGGCACCGTCAGAAGCACGGGGGACAGCGAGCAGCTCAGGGACAGAGAGGAACGGGCCGCCCACGGGCCTGGCACAGCCCGACGAACCGCGCGCAGGCGGCCCGAGCCGCGCGCGGGCCTGGCGCAGCCCGTACGGGCCACGCGCGGGCCTGGCGCAGCCCGTACGGGCCGCGCGCGGGCCGGGCGCAGCCCGTACGGGCCGCGCTTGGGGCTGGCGCAGCCCGCGCTGGCCAGGACGGGCGACGGGGGACGACGGGCTGGTCCCCGTCGCCCGTCGAAGCGCCCCCCGGGGGCGACGCGCGGACTGACGGGGCAGAAGGCCGCCGCGCGCCTCGGGGCGCACGGCGGGCAGAAAACCGCCGCACGCTCCGAGCGCGCGGCGGGATGAAAAATCCGTCGCACGCCACGGGGCGTGCGACACAGAGACTGGCAGTAGCAGCGGAAGCAGTGAGGTGGTGAGCCCACCCACAGGATCGACCCAAGGGGATCGACCTGCTCTGATAGCATGTGAAAATAGTAGGTAGAGTTAGGAGCCATAGCTAGGTAAGTCCTAGCTAGGCAAGAGAAGTTTAGGCAAAAGAGGGGAGTTCACTAGCAGCAATGAGGATACATATAGCAAACCCTAGATGGGTTGTACTCGCTATAGAGCACCCCACTACAGGCTAGAGAATAACATTCTGACAAGATGCAACCAGGAATACTGATTAATCAACCATTACTACAATAACCATCCCAAACGCAATAAAAACGGCAAAACAAAAACATAGCCGGTATCAATTGATCTCCGCGCAAATCCCATCCCAGGCTACAGAATGGGCGCAGTTTCAAGTTCCCCTCGCAAGAAGGAACCGGACTTCCGAACAGGCCCAGCCAATTCAGCACTCCCCAAATTCTAAATCTGAAACCCAAGAAGCAACTCACCGTTGCCCGCAAATCCGCGTCGCGCAACTCATACTACGCTCTAAACATCGTCCTTGGATTCACCCTCATCCTCGCCCTTGCTGGCGAGAGGCATCAGATAAATAGCCGTGTACGGAATCGCCACAAGAAGCGCGCCGATTATCGGGCCGAACCAATAAATCCACTGGTCTGCCCAGTCGCCCGTCCACACGGACGGGCCAAACGAACGCGCAGGGTTCATCGACGCCCCCGTCAGAGGCACACCCACAGCGTTGTCGATAAGAACGGAAATCCCAATCATAAGGGGTGCGATCGCGGCGGGTCCCCTGGGATCGACGGCGCAGGCGAAAATGGTGTAGACGAGAATCGCGGTGAGGAGCAGCTCCGTGAGAAAACCCATGCCGACTGAAACTCCCGGGCCTAGCGACGTTTGACCGAGAATTCCCTGTGGGGAAATAGGAGATGGGTGGAAAGGGGGGAGAAGGGGGACCGGATTTCGCGATTTCGCAAAAATGTCACGATTTCGCAAAAATGCCACGATTGTTCGGGGAAGTATCTAGAAAGTCCCAAGATTTCATAACAAAACTGTAATGAGTGCAAGCCAATGCGAAGAAAGAAATAGAGAAATCTTGTGACAGGAGTGCGAAGAACGTACTTTGATTTCAGAAGGCACGATGGCCTTGGCAAGTCCCGCACCGAAAATGGCTCCGAGAATCTGCGCAACGATGTAAATGGCGGCGGACAACACGTCGGTGAGGCCGACGGCTAGCAGGGAGAGTGTGACGGCCGGGTTGATGTGGCCGCCGGAGACGCCGGCGGTTGCACAGACAGCGAGAGCCAAGCCAATGCCATAACCCAAAGCGATGACGATAACGCGAGTCAAAGGCTCAGTCTTGCCAAACGGACCTGCAAAATGAATAAAGAAACAGGAAGAAAAAATAATAAAAAGGTTAGAAACAAAAAAAGGAGAATCGAAATGTACGTTTAGGGAAGACCGTAGACCGCGACTTTGGAACAGCATCTCAGCAGCGACGTGACAAGACGTATGTTTGTAGTGCGCTTCGTTTTCGCACAGAAATTCCAATTCAGTATCGAATTTGTTACACAACGAATAACGCGAGCGACAAATGTGGACAGGAGAAAGACTTCGAGAAGGTACTTACTGGATACGGAGACAGAGAGGGCGCCGAGGAACACGAAGAACATAGTCCCGATGAGCTCCGCGACAGCACAACCAGCCAGAGCCATAGGCGGCTTGAACTTCATCCACTGCTTCAATTGCACCGCCATGATGAGAGTCCCTCGCTTGCTTAGCGCACAAGGTGCAGAGCAGACGGCGGTATGCCGTGAGCGTGTGAATGCGAGGTAATGAAAGCTTCACAGCGGCGCGAACCGAGTGCTGGTGAGAGGAAGAGCACTACGGCCAATGCCGGCCCCGTAAATTCGTGCAAGAAAATGAAGTGGTAGCTTGTGTTGTGTTGGATTTGCCCGAAGATATACGATGGCACACAATACCCCCAAAGAACGCATGCCATGGCGGCTGTGTGATGCTCATGACAAGTGATTGGACAAGGCAGGATGAGGGAGTGAGCCTCGTCATCCGCCACGTAGATTTCCCGCCAAATAAGTATACTGCGTTGCTCTTCCTCGTGCAATTCCAGCTTCCAATCACAAGTGACTCTCGTTATTGGAACCAAAGCAGCCACAAAGAGTCTCGCTGGCGCCGCCCGCCGCCATATTCATCCTTCGTCTTGATGCTACACGGGCGCTCTGTATAGTGAAACCACTGCCGCGTGATTCGAGGAGCTATGATTCATATCATGTGCGATGTCGTTGGACGACATTCTGCGGACCCCAAACGGACAATTCTTGGCTCCAATTTGGATCGGATCGGATCTCGACTCGACTTCTGTTTGTCGCACAGTCGCTCACACTGTACACACACGGAGAAACAGGATTCCATGCCTGAAGTCCACTTCAATGCGGTGGGGTGCGATCGTTTCTGTGTCAGAGCGGCTCAAGGTCTTTGAGAACGTTTAGGTATGGTTTAAAACAGAAAATGAACTATTGACGTGCTTAGGTACTGTGTACGGATTTAGCGTGTGGCTTGGATCAGCTGTACATATGTCAGCTGGGCAATGGGCATTGTTTGCGGCACGAGTAATGACGCGCAATTTTCTAAGAGTGAGTCATGTCGCTGAAGTCGCCCTCGAATCACGCTCGTGCGTGCCTGATGCAATCGTGTCGCCGTTGCTGGGGTAACGAGCCAGTCATACGGCGAGGAAGGACCATGGTGCAGCCAGACCAACTGCAGCGTGGGAGTTTTGTAAAAGTGTGGGCCTGCGCAATGCGTGTGTGTTGGCTGTTACAGTAAAACTGACATGGCGAAGTGTGTGGTGTGGAGAAGGACGAAGGCTTGCTGCAGAAGCTGCTAGAAGCAGGAGGTCGAACGAAGGGGAAAAGAAGAAAGAAGCGGGCAGGATGGAGTGGGGGAAATCTGAAGATGATTAACTCCTGGTTCGGAGAGGCTGAGAGTGAGGAAGGGACAGGGGAGTGGGGGAAACGAGGCCATTTTGGAATCTGGGTATGGAGATTCATGAAAGGATTACAGATGGGGGCAGGTGATAAGAAGGGGAGTCAATTCCGGATTATCTGACACGTGTATGCAGGCATCATGAACAGTTATGGAACTTCTCGCGGCACCGCAAATTAAAGCCCAAAACCTGAATTTCTCAACGCAAGTCAACGCGGGGCAAAACTGTGGGCTGAGGGAGGCAAACTGTGCACAGTTTGCCTTCGTTTTTTGTAATTCGGGTCATGGGTTTTAACCAACCCCCTCTCCTTCCCCTCTCCTCCTCCCCTTCCCCCCCTCCTCCTCTACCCCTTCAGCTTCTCTGCAAATTCACATCAACACCACACACATGGGTTGGATGTCGCCGTGGGGGGGTCAGTTTCGCCTAACCCCGCATTCCTAGCTTCGGGTCTTCCAGTGTTTGGGCCTTCCGAAATTGTGGGATCTAATCGGAAAACCCGAAGCTCGAACCGCGGATGTTCCGATTGGATCCCACAATTTCAGAAGGCCCAAACACCGGAACACCCGAGGCCAGGAATGCGCCCTAAGCATCTTGACTTTGGACATTTCTTTCGCATATCGACCTTTCGTAAACATCATTTCGCCTATTCATCTTGATGGTCGTAAATTTCTTCCGCAGCTCCATCTTGACGTCCGTAAATTCTATTCCGCAATTCCAAATGACGGCCGCAGAGCTCGTTGAGTTCAGCGACAAGTTCTTGACTTTCTTCTGGGGTCAACACAAGGTAACTGGCCCGCACATGGAACCGCCAGCCTGCACTGGATATTTGCCTCTCGTCCCGTGCTAAACATGTTTATAACGCATCGCATGTTGTTGCATTGGTTCCTTGATTCCTAAATTGTAAATCTACAACTCAAGTTTTACTACGCCTTGTATGTTAATTATCATGTGGGGATATGATTGGCAATTCAGGCAGCTCAAGTGGAAGAAGTCCCTCTGGAGATCTTGCAACTCACCTTTACTACTACAATAGGCCTGTGATAGTATCAAATGATAAGACAGGTTGCATTGGGCTGCGAGTGTGTCCACAATATGAAGCAATGAAGAGACAAGCACAACCAACAGTCTCAGAGCAACCCAATCTAGCCATGATAGTGAAGCGGAATGCGAATAGTGAGAGTGGTGATAAACCCTATAAAAAAATGGGGCCCTTAAAAAAGGAGCCCTGTAAGGAGAAGTAAAATCTTCCATTTCTTAAACAACACAAGCCATCCACTCGCTCAAAACTCTCGAGTGCAAAGATCACGGAAACCCATGTTCGCGCCGGCCTTCCAATCATGATACGTATTCACGCCACCATACGCACCAAGAATAATCCCACTCAGCCCAATAACCGAGCCGAGCGCGAAAATAATCACCGAGGGCTTGCCGTAACGCATGACAATAGCGCGCACGATGGAAAGACCGGTAAAAGCTGCAACCATGGCGATCCCGGCAAAGACAAGGGCCACCTCGATGGGGATGCGACCGAGGAGGTAGAACTCGAGCACTGAGAGCGAGGAGGAGAAGACCACCATGAAGGTTGTGGTCGCTGCTGTGACCTGTTGTGGTGGGGGTGAGGGGGGGGGGAGACCAGTCGGAGAATCTTTGAATGGCCCGAGGAGGTAGAACTCGAGCACGGAGAGAGACGAGGAGAAGACCACCATGAAAGTTGTTGTCGCTGCTGTGACCTGTAGTGGGCAAGAAAGAGTAGATGGAGAAGATTGGGGTGGACTCAAAAGGCCGAGGAGGTAGAACTCGAGCACGGAGAGCGAGGAGGAGAAGACCACCATGAAGGTTGTTGTCGCTGCCGTGACCTGTTGTGGTGGGGGGCGGTGGAGGGAGGGAGAGAGGCATAGAGGAAGCACCGGTTGGGGGAGGTGGGGTGGGGAGTATTTATGGGTTGACTCAAGAGGCCGAGGAGGTAGTACTTGAGCACACAGAGTGATGAGGAGAGCACCACCATGAAGGTTGTTGTCGCTGCCGTGACCTGTTGTGGTGGGAGGTAGTGGGGTGGGGTGGAGGGGGGTGGGAAGACCACTTGGAGCATCTTTGAGTGGGCTCAAAAGAGGCCGAGGAGGTAGTACTTGAGCACAGAGAGCGATGAGGAGAGCACCACCATGAAGGTTGTTGTCGCTGCTGTAACCTGTTGTGAAAAATGGTGTTGGTTGGGGAGGGAACAGGCATGACTGGTGAGTTGGTGAGCAGCATGCAAGCAGCACAACCCCCCTGTCTTTTGAGTCGACTCAAAAGTCATCGTGCAAGCAGCAGAATCCACCTGTCAACCTGACAGATGCAACCCACCTGGGGAGGCACGCTGAGTTTGAGCAGCACAGGGCCCATGACAATGCCGCCTCCTAGTCGACTCAGAAGCAGCACACACAAACCACACATGCAGCACACAAGCAGCACCACAGCCTGACGCATTTCAACCCACCTGAGGAGGAAGGTTGAGTTCGAGCAGCACAGGGCCCATGACCATGCCGCCTCCGATGCCCAGCAGCCCACCCATCACCCCAGCAATGAAGGAACACAGCGGGTACCCCCACAGCTGCTGCATGCCCCAGTGTGCTGTGTCGTACTCTCCCCTGCTGGTGGTGCTGCTCCTGCTCCTGCTGCTGCTGCTGTCGCCCTGCCTCTGGTGTTCCGATGCTGCAGCACCACCAGCACCAGCACCACCACCACCATCACCACCAGCAGCACCACCAGCAGCAGCGCTAGCAGAACCACCACCGCCACGCCCGCGGGAGTTTCTCCTGGGAGACGGGTGGCTTTGCCGGTAGAGGCGGAACGCGCCGACGAGGGTAGCGAGAAGAGCAACGGGGATCTGCAGGGCGTTGAGGAGCCAGTAGGGGCGGCTGCAGTCGGGCGTGTGCTGCTTGGCGAGTTGTAGGGCGAGGAAGGCCAACCACACGAGTAGGAGCTCGAGCACTGACCGCCAGTCCACCAGCTGGAACAGGGACGCCTGGAGGGAGGGAGGACGGGAGTATACGGACGGAGGAGTGGGTGGGACAGGGACAGGTGGGTGTGCTTGTTGGGGACTCATGCCGCGCCACACCACGCCACGGCACGCGCCCACGAGGGTAGCGAGCAGAGCAACAGGGATCTGCAGCGCGTTGAGCAGCCAGTAGGGGCGGCTGCAGTCGGGCGTGTGCTGCTTGGCGAGTTGTAGGGCGAGGAAGGCCGCCCAGACTAGTAGGAGCTCGAATACTGACGACCAGTCCACCAGTTGAAAGAGAGATGCCTGGAGGGAGGGATGGGAGGAAGAGAGAGGAGGAAAGAGCAGAAGAAGAAAAGGAGACGTTTGGGACAGATTGGGAGCAGTGGAACAGGGATGAGTGAGGGTGTACAGGCACCACGGCACGCGCCGACGAGGGTAGCGAGCAGAGCATCGGGGGTCTGTAGGGCGTTGAGCAGCCAGTGGGGGCGGCTGCAGTCGGTGCAGATCAACTCACTTCCAGCGAGTTGACTTTTGAGTCGACTCACAAGTCAACTCGGGGGGCTGCAGTCGGTGCAGATCAACACGCAGATCTACTCCCCTCCAGCGGGGCTCCGAAGTGCAGTTCCTCCATCAGCTCTTGGTGCGCACTGCAGGGCTTGACCTGACTTGACTTGACTTGACCTGACTTGACTTGACTTGACTTCACTGCACCACACACACACCTCAACTCCCCTCCAGCGGTGCTCCGAAGTGCAGTTCTTCCATCAGGCTCTTAGTGCGCACTGCTGACCCCTGCACCGTGCCCCTGAGCTGTGAGGTACGGTGCAGGGTCTAACCTCACTCATACCCCACACCTCCACTCACCTCCAGCGGTGCTCCGAAGTGCAGTTCTTCCATCAGGCTCTTGGTGCGCACTGCACACCCCTGCACCGTGCCCCTGACCTGTGAGCTGTGAGCTGTGACCTGCGAGCTGCGAGCTTTTAACCCACCAAACCACAGACGCCTTTCCTTACCTCCAGCGGTGCTCCGAAGTGCAGTTCTTCCATCAGACTCTTGGTGCGCACTGCTGACCCTTGCACCGTGCCTCCCCTTCCCCCTCCCCCTCCTCCTCTACCCCTCTCTCCTCCTCTACCCCCCTCTCCTCCTCCTGTTCCTCCTCCTCCTCCGTCCCCTGCTGCTGATGCCTCTCGCTGCAGCAACGGGGTGGTGAGCCCCCCAGACGGAGCAGGAACCTTGGAAGAAAGAAGAGGAGCTGAATCAGCAGCGTCAGAATGAGCAGCAGCAGAAGCAGAAGCAGAAGGAGGAGTGTAAGGTATGGAAGGGTTGGAGGCCTGATGCTGTGGCCTCTCACCCTCTTCCTCCCACTGCCCCTGTTCCACTCTCTTCGCACTCTCCACCTTCCTCTCACTCCCTTTGCTCCTCTTCTCACTCTCCCTTCCCCCCTCTCCCCCTCCCCTTTCCGCCACACCTGGCTCCCCATCCAGGAGCTCCTGCTCCGGCACGCCCACGGGCACCCCTCTGTTGATTTCACCTGAAAAAAAACCTGAACCAGCAGCAGAATCACCCGCACCAAATCCACCGCCAAAACCATCGTCGTCATCATCCTCCTCGATTCCAGAAGCAACAGCAGAAGCAGCAGCAAGAGCAGCGGACAAACCGAACCCGCCACCACCCATGCGACCCGCACTCCCACTCCCTCGGTTGTAGCTCCCACCGGCACTCCCCCGGGGACTCAGCCCTCCAGCACTGGGGCTCACAAAAACAGGCGGAAGGAGAGGCTCGTTTGACCCCAGAATCCTGCGACCTCTGCTGTTGCTGCTGCTGCTGCTGTTGCCAGTGGCAGGGGCAACAACAGCATCAGCAACAGTGGCAGCGGCGCCAGTGGCACCAGCGGTAGAACCACTGCCCCCAGTGCCGCCGCCACTGCCCTCAGTGCCGCCAGTGCCGCCCGTGCTGACAGTGCCACCAGTGCTGGGCATATCAATGCTTGTCCTATCAGTGCCAGGCCTCTCAGTGCCTGACCTGTCAGTGCCCCCCACCGATCCTCCCACTGCTGGAAATCCGGCATAGTGTGTCTCGCTCCCGAACCCAAACACCCCCTCCTCCCGAGCCAGGCCGTGCCGAGCCAAGCCCTGGTACCCCACAGCTCCGTGCTGGCTGGACTCTGCTGGCTCGCCCACACTCTCACAGTCAAAGAGCGCTCGGGCGGAATGGGCGTGGGAGTGGGCGTGCAGGGAAGCGGAGAGACGGAGCACGTCGGACCAGGAGGAGGGGAGAGAGGTGGTTCGGTCTGATGGGAGCAGCCGGGGGATGATCGGGCGGGGAGGGGCTGGGGGGGGAGGGCAAGGGAGGGAGAAGAAGGGGAACACAAAAGGAGGGACAGGGAGGTGAGGATAGGCTCCGTGCAGTCTGGACTCTGCTGGCTCGCCCTTTGATGAGTCGAATCCGAACTCGCCCACACTCTCACAGTCAAAGAGCGCTCGGGTGGAATGGGAGTGGGAGTGGGCGTGCAGGGAAGCGGAGAGGCGGAGCACGTCGGACCAGGAGGAGGGGAGCGAGGTGGTGCGGTCTGATGGGAGCAGCCTCGGGATGATGGGGCGGGGGGGCGCTGGGGGGAAGTGGGAAGGAAGGGGGAGGGGGAGAGGGAGGGGGAAGGGGAGATGGGGGATGTTAAGAATGACAAGGAGGGGAGGGAGGTGGTGCGGTCAGATGATGACACGGGGGGGTGCGGGGGGGGAAGGGGGAACGGGGAAGCGGGGAGGGGAAGGGGGAAGGGGAGATGTTGAGAATGAAGAGAGACAAGAGAGACGTATTCATAAGAATTCTTAAAAAAACCCTCACTGCGAGGCGGGGGGGTCAAGATGGGTATTGCTTACCTTAGTGTCTTAGGCTCTAAGGCATGTGGGCAGGTATTACGCTCAGCCTACTGCCACTCGCTCAGCCTACTGCCACTAGCAAGCTTGACTCTGAAAGCACAAGTGCAGGCTCTGATTTTGGACTCTTTTGCACTCCGGGGCAGACTTGACACTTAACCTCGTGACATGATCAGCTGCGACACGAGTGTCACGGAACAGCCTCTTCATCCTTCAACTTTGTGACACGAGGAAGCAGAATATACCCTTACCCTCTTCATCCTTACAAGCACTCACAGGAATCACTGAAGGAAGGGAGAGGGGTTGCCATCACTGCTGAATGCTGGGAGGGGGAGAGGAGGAGAAAAGAAAAGAGGGAGAAAGATGGGAAGTGGGTGGACTTTTGAGGCGCCTCAAAAGACCACTCACAGGAATCACTGAAGGAAAGGAGAGGGGTTGCCATCACCGTTGAATGCTGGGAGGGGGAGAGGAGGAGAAAGGAAGAGAGGGAGAAAGAGGGGAGGTGGGTGGTGAGGAGAGGGGAGGGATGAGAGTGAAATGTAATCATTGTTATTGAACCTGCCTGCTTGACAGTGTGATGTGATGTGCCCTGACTATTTTTTAGGCGCATAACAAATCGTCTCACTTCGCAAGGAGGATTGTGTGAGATAGCTGGCCAAAAAGGAACTTTAGGAACTGAGATTTCTTCTTTTGAGGCGCCTCAAAAGGATTGTATGATTGCTGGAACTGAGATTTCTTCAACCACATGGCATAGCTTGTTGACCTGTGTTGACCCATGCTGACCTGTGTTGACCCATGCTGACCTGCATTGACCCATGCTGACCTGCATTGACCCGCATTGATTTCTGAGAATCGCCTGGTGCGCCATCTGATGCCCATACCATCCACATGTTATGGGCTGTTGACCTGCATTGACCTGCATTGACCCGCGTTGACCTGCTTTGACCCGCGTTGACTCTCTCTGACTCACCTGGTGCGCCACCTGAGACTCCCTCATCCACGTGGCATGGGCTGTTGACCTACGTTACCCAGCGTTGACTCACCTGGTGCGCCACCTGGGACTCCTTCATCCACATGGCCACGCCCTTATCCAGTGTCTTGTATGTCATCACTGCACGGGATGGGGTGCAGTGCGGTAAGGGGAGGTAGAATGAGGTGTGTGAGTGGGTGGGTGTGACATGGTGTGATGCATGTAGCAAGAGATAGCTAATTCACATGCCATGCGTCTTGTACGTCATCACTGAATGGGATGGGGTGGGGTGCAGTGCGGTAATGGGTGGTAGAATGAGGTGTGAGCAGCGGCAGCATGTGAAAGGTGAACCGCACAGCCACGCCCTTGCCCAGTGTCTTGTACGTCATCACTGCATGGGATGGAATGGGGTACAGTGCGGTAAAGGGAGGTTGCTTGCACGTTATATCCACACCACATGGCCACGCCCTTGTCCAGCGTTTTGTATGACATCACTGCAAGGGGTGGGGTGGTACGTGGTGCAGTGAAGGCCGGTAGAATGAGGTGTCAGAGTGGAATGATGCATGCAGCATACGACAGGTGAACCACATAGCAACGCCCTTATCCAGCGTCTTGTACGTCATCACTGCATGGGGTGAGGTGGCATGTGGTGCAGTGCGGTAAACGTTGTGCGTGTGCTTGTGTCGGTGGGAAGCAGTCCCATAAAAACAGATAAACTCACAGAGCAGAAGCAGGAAAAGCATGACGGTAATCAGCCAGGGCGGGAAGATGACGTTGCAGGTGACACTGGCGTGTATGGCTCTTGTCACAGGCATGTACGGCTCTCCTCACAGGCTTATATAAAACATTTAGACTCACAGAGCAGCAGCAGGAAGAGCATGACGGTAATGAGCCATGGAGGGAAGATGACGTTGCAGGTCACCCACGCGTGTATGGCTCTTCACACAGGCTTATGTGAAACATTTGGACTTACAGAGCAGCAGCAGGAAGAGCATGACCGTGATGAGCCAGGGCGGGAAGATGACGTTGCAGGTGACGCCCACGCTGATCCCCAGCAGTAGTGTCAGGGCGGCAATATGTCTCTACTCCCCCACTCACACGGACACCCACACTCACAGAGCAGCAGCAGGAAGAGCATGACAGTAAGCAGCCAGGGCGGGAAGATGACGTTGCAGGTGACGCCGACGCTGATCCCCAGCAGCAGCGTGGGCTGCATGAGGCGCGCCAAGCCATAGTCTATGAGCGGCTGGTGGAAGGTGGGGTGCTTCAGCTGCACGTTGAAACACACACTCGCCAACGCGCCACCCATTATCATTGCTGGAAGGAGAGGGAGGGGGGAGGGGGGTTGGGGGTGAGAGCAGAGGGTGAGGCGCGCCAAGCCGTAGTCTATGAGCGGCTGGTGGAAGGTGGGGTGCTTCAGCTGCACGTTGAAACACACACTCGCCAGGGCGCCCCCCATTATCATCGCTGGAGGGGCACAGGGGGAAGGGGGAAGGGGGGCGGGGGGAAGGGGGGAGGGGGGAAGGGGGGAGGGGGGAAAGAGGGGAGGGGCAGTGGATGTCTTGGCATCGTACCCCAGGAGCAGGTTGAACATGGGCAATATGAGCGCAAAGGCTATACTCACATTTAGAGAGCGCGGTGGATGTCTTGGCGTCGTATCCCAGCAGCGGGTTGAACATGGGATGGGCACGAACTCAGTAAGTCGAGTACATAAGGTGGTTTTGAAGCTCTTCTCACATTTAGAGAGCGCAGTAGACGTCTTGGCATCATATCCCAGCAGCAGGTTGAACATGGGCACGAACAGCCCGCCTCCCCCCACGCCCCCCGCATTGGCGAGTGCTGCTCCCACGAGGGAGATGAGAGAGGCCAGCACAAACCGGGGACCGAACACGAACGGCTGTTTGGGTGGGAAGGAAAACGGGGAGAGGGGAGAGGGGAGAGGGGAGAGGGACAAGGGAAGAGGGGAGAGGGGAAAGAGTGAGCCTTTTAACAAAGGAGGGGGTTGGGAGAGGAAGGAAGGGGTTGGGAGAGGAAGCAGCAGACTCCCCCCCACGCCCCCCGCATTGGCGAGTGCTGCCCCCACGAGGGAGATGAGAGAGGCTAGCACGAACCGGGGACCGAACACGAACGGCTGTTTGGGTGGGAAGGAAAACGGGGAGATGGACGAGGGGAGAAGGGAGAGGGGAAAGAGTGGGTTGGAATGGGTTGGGAGAGGTAGGAAGGAAATGCCGCTAGCAGCAGCCCCCCCCCCCCACGCCCCCCGCATTGGCGAGTGCTGCTCCCACAAGGGAGATGAGAGAGGCTAGCACGAACCGGGGACCGAACACGAACGGCTGTTTGGGTGGGAAGGGAACGGGGAGAGGGGAGAGGGGAGAGGGGAAAGAGTGAGTCTTTCAACAAAGGAGGGGGTTGGGAGAGGAAGGAATGGGTTGGGAGAGGTCGCAGACTCCCCCCCACGCCCCCTGCAGTGGCGAGCGCTGCTCCCACGAGGCAGATGAGAGAGGCCAGCACAAACCGGGGACCGAACACGAACGGCTGTTGTGGTGGGAAGGGAGCGGGGAGGGGAGGGGAAAGAGCGAGCGTTGGAAGGAAGGAGTGGGTTGGAATTGGTAGGAAAGAAATGCCGCTAGCGGATGAGGGAGAAGAGGGCGAGGGAGAGGGAGAAGGAAGAGAGGGAGAGGGAGAAGGAAGAGAGGGAGGGGAGGTACTTACATTACGGGAAATCTCTTATCGCCGAGCCATGCTGCAGTGGGCTGTAGTGAGGAGGGGAAAGAGTAGAGGGGGGGCGGAAGAGGGGAAGGGCGAGGGGAGAAAGAGTGCTTACAGGCCACCTCTTATCGCCGAGCCATGCTGCAGTGGGTTTCGACACTCGCAGCAGGGGAAGCAGTGGATGAGTGAACATGCTGCTGCCGCTGCTGCTGCTCGCACTGCTGCTGCTGCTGCTCGCACTGCTGCTGATATTGCTGCTGGTGGTAGTGGTGGTGATGATGGCATTGCTTCTGCTGATGGGAGTGCTACTGCCGCTGTCGCTGCCGCCGTGTCTGCTGGCCCTGGAACCGCTCTGCACCCCCGGCGCCGCTACTAGAAACGAGTGGAACCGACCAAAAAGCACCGCCTGCCTGCCTCTTCCGCTCGTTACAGTCACTTCTGCCACTCGCCCTCCTGAACCCTCGCCTTCCTTCACTCCAGGACGGGTCTGACCCGCAACCGCCCCGCTCCCCCTCGTTATAATCACATCCCGTGCTTGCTCTGCTTCCGCGGATTCAAGAGCCGCTGCTTCCGACTGGAGCCCATCCCCTTCCGATTCTGTCACATTCGCTAAAGTCACATTCGGCAGAGTCACATCCCATGCTGCAACGCCCGAGATTGTCACATTCGATCCCGTCACCTTCTCCCGGTCAGACCCGAGAGCATCAGATCTACCCCCGTTTGTGGAGCCTCGAATAGAGTCAACCCCGGCGCAGAGCACAAGGGGACAGGCGGGCAGCAGGAGCAGGACCAGCAGCAGCGGCAGCAGCGGCAGCGGCAGCAGGGGTAGCTCCCTCACCCTCTCCCTCGTCATCGGCATGGGTAGCGACAGAAGCAGCCTCGAGATGTTGTTGTTGTTGTTGTTGTTTTTTTTTTTTTTTTTTTGGCTCCTTAAAATCCGATCAAGTCTGTGCGAGGGGGAACAATTCAGGGGCTACGTGCCGCCTCAAAACTAAGAAAATCGTCCGATCAAGTCGCTGGAAGGGGTGAATGCGGGCGGTGCGGTGCTAGGCCGCCGAAGAGCCACTGGGGGGCCGTGCTTGAGAGGAAGGGGGGCGGTGGCGGGTATAACGGCGCGCGTGTGTGTATGTGTACTACGCTGCGGATGGCCCGGAGGGAGGAAATGGCAGAGACTGAAGATGGAGGGAGGAAATGACACGGGGGCTTGGAGATGGCACGGGGGGGCAGCAGATCACGGGGGTTAGCAGGAAGCACACCACGAAATGGCGCCAACACTACTACGCCTGAGCTGATGTACTGTATCCAGTCTTAACCGCAACCTATATTCAACAGTTACGCGATTACTATGAACTAACTACCAGTTGTGAGCCACGTGATCGGCTTACTCTTAGCAACCGCTTCAGCAGCAACTATGAGCCAGCAGTGAACCACTCCTGAGTCTACCCAAAAGCTGCTAGCAGTTTGCGCCAGCAGCAGCTATGATCCAGCCGTGAACCGCTCTGGAAACGGACTCCAAATTCCAATGCAGCTACTAGGCTACTGCAGTGATCCAGCGGTGATTTTTTAGGCGCCTCAAAACTCTCCTAATGCCAACCAATGCAGGAACCAGGCCACGGCAGTGATCCGGCTATGATCCAGCGGTGAATTGCTCCTGAGTCGACCCAAAAGCTGCTAGCAGTTTGCCAGCAGCAACTATGATCATCCAGCAGTGAGAAAAGCTTTGGTGACAGACAAACTCGAGAACGGTCATGAGAGGACGAGCCGAGCTGCTGAGTGCGTGGCGCCAATGCAGCTACCAGGCCACGTCAGCGCGGTTCGAGACGGGGTGAACGAACCTTCGCCGGAAACACGGAAAGCCGCGGGGTAATCAGCGAAAGGCGGGAAGGGGGACGTGAATCTGATGTGAATCCGCGGGGGTGTTTTAGAAAATTTCGGAAGGGGAGCAGGGCTCTAGCGGGCTGTGATCATTCCGCGTTCAGAGGAGGGCTTTATCTGGGGATTTGTTCGACCCGCCCTGAGGGCTAGAACGAGTCTCTGGTTTGTTGCGACTGAGCGCTGCGGGACGAGGAGATCCTAATCAGCCTGACCCGTCTCGTCTCTAGGGAGTAATGTACCGCACGGGTCGGGCCTGTGGGATGGGAGAAGTGATCGTGTGGTATCGCCACCGCGACACGTCAGCGAAGGCGATATCGCCACAGAGCCACGTCAGCGCGTGCGATCGCCGGCACCGAGCCACGTCAGCGCGTGCGACGATCTGAGAGACGTCGCCAAGTAGGAAAACGCCGCCTACAAAGTCGTCGTTTTTCTTTTTGCGAAATCGTTGTGCACTTGGAACGCGCAGAAGGACTCGACGCCCATCATCTTCCTCCCCCGCATGTGAATCCTTCCACCATCCCCTTCCCCTTGCGCCACCCTCCATCACGATTCCGCCGAACCTCGCTCCTCCGTCTGTCAGAGTGAACTGATGCGAAAACTCCCTCATACGGCTCTTTTCTCCCCATAAGCGCTACCTGTTAGTTCTCCCCGTACTCCCCGGAAGTGATCCCTCCCTCCTCCACCTCCGCCGTCTCCCCTCCGCGCTTCTGCGACGCGCGTGGCAGCAGTATCCGTCGCATCATCTCGCTCGCAGCGCTATTGCGGCAAGTTGGGTGAATCTGGCACTTGTAGCCTTCGAGTCAAACGTGTGACCGTGCACATGCGCTGTTTCTAGACGAAGCGGCATCGTGAAAACCCTAAAAAACTTCTGGGGGAAGTGAAGTGAGGCCAAGGCAGTGTGCATTGTGGTCAGAAATGAGTCAGCACACGTGTCCAGATACGATGGCTTTCTACCCTAGACCAAAAGCAGCTATAAGCACCATTCTTTAGAGAGATGATACACATTTGAAAATAGCAGTTTCAAATCCTTATGATTTTGAAAAGCTGGTTACCATATTACAACCTTTGCAGTTTTTTAACATTTTCTGAAGCGCTTGTGAGGTTACGGGTATTATCTAGGTCCTTATCGCGTTTATAAGGAAAACACTTCATTAAATATAGCCCCATATATACTATCTGTATACATGGATTTGATGCCTTGATTTCAGTATGATATTTTGGTAATTTGCATTTTCTCACATCCTCCTCCTCTTGAGAATGTTTCAAAATATATGACTTTCTCCAAAATAACATCTAAATAATATAGACATATGAAAACAGACAAGTAACTCGGTTTGTCGACCTTGTTGCAAGCTGTAAGGAAATTTCTCAAATTCCTTATCGGGGTTGACTGCTTCGCGTACAGCCCCGATTTTCGGACTCTGCACGTTCGGCCGATTTCAACGCTGCCGAGGCTCCTCGCGTCGCCTTCGGCATTTCCCAATCACCAAACCTGCACCCAACCTCGTTCGTCCGAGGTTCCCTCCTAGCTAGGCTAGTTCCTACATTAGTCTGTGCCTTCATTGTACTCTCAGTTCATTCAATCACAGGCTCGTTATTCGTTTACCTGCGCACTCTCTTTTACAACTCATAACACCTGGTATCAGAGCTACTTTCCTAGTTCACCCCGTTTTTCCGAGGGTAGTTTGGTGGCACGGGTGTGGGTGGTTTAGTGACCACACGACGGTTGGCCGCAGGGATTGTTTCAATCCTGCCCGACTCCGATAGTTCGTGTTTTCACTTGCCTGAAGACCACGGAGACCCGATTGCCCACCAGACGTAGCGCTAGGCACATGGATCAGGAGGCGGTTAACAGGCTGATGGCGCAAGTGGCAGAGATGCAGGAGGGCATGAAGTCGTTAATGGCGGAAGTGACAACACTGCGTGAAGAAAACGCCGAGCTACGCCAGACGCGAGGTGAAGCGCGTCAGGTGTCGCCCGATGAAGAAGGCGAGGGCAACAGTCAAGCGGTGAGCAATCCCTTGGATGCGCTCACACGTGACTTCGAAGAGGAAGACAGGCAGCGAGCGGCAGCAGCGCCAGTTGCAGTAACGATGATCAAGATTAAACCCGTTAACCCGCCCCCGTTCAACCCTACGGACAAGACAACTACAGTGAAGGGGTGGCTGTTCGGTGTTGAAGTCTTCTTCACTGCAGCAGGAGTTAATGACGATGTCACGCGTATTAATTACGCGGTTTCGCTTCTTCGAGGCGCAGCGCTTGAATGGTGGCGCTGAACCTTGGAAACGGGGACGCCGACAAGTGTGACGCATGCGGCTGACGGGACCTCAACAGTGACTAATCGAGTGGCAGAATCAATCTTCGGAGTGACTAAGATACGCACGTGGAAGGAGTGGGTCGCAGCCTTACGAGATCGCTTCGAGCACGTATCCGCCTCGGAGCAAGCTCGCATGAAGCTGCGTGCATGGTCGCAGATGGCATCTGTCGAATACTACACAGCGTCATTTATGGGCCTCGCCGACCAAGTTGATGACATGTCGGAAGCGGAGCGGTTGGATAAGTACATCAGCGGCCTCAAGTACGAAATTCAATACGAGGTTCGCAGGGGCCGCCCGACATCATTCCTAGAAGCAGTACGACTGGCGAAGTCAACAGATGCGCTAATGCAGTACGGGAGAGCAGCTTCCAGGGATGGAAACCGCTTTCGTGGCCAAACCCATCGGGCCACGATCAACGCCGTCCATACACCCGACCGCCCTCCTAAGGGACCGTGTTATCGGTGTGGGAAGACGGGTCACTACATGAAAGACTGCCACGAGAAAACGCCGCTGACGGGGAACGACAGGAAGGAGCAGGGAAATGGGAAAAGTCAGTAATTAGCGGGCCCTTTACTGACTGTGCTCCGTCGCCCGAACCCCACCATCCCCACCGAGTCGTGGTTCCGATTCTTGCAATCGATCGCACTCGGCCGAATAACGGGGATAATCATGTGGATCACCATGTGCTGGTCGCTGGCAAGGTGTTAAAAAATAACTTGAAAATGTTCGTCGATGGAGGGGCCAGCCATAGCCTCTTCAACTTGGCGACAGCAAAAAAATGCAAGCTGCAACTTGACAGGTGTCTGCCCGAAATCGACGCTCGCCTCGTGGATGGGACGCCTCTGGCGATAACGGAAGAAATACGGACGGTCAGGATCGAATGCGGCGACGATTTCGGCTTCAGCATGAAGTTCCTCGCGACGACACTGGATGGCTGCGACGTGCTGCTGGGACGTGATTGGATGCGACGGCACAACCCCGTCATCGACTGGACAACGGGATCGTGCAGCATCAACAAACACGAGGGGCTCATCACATTGCCTGCATGGACACCTGACTACATCCAAGCCCCGTGCGTCAAAGCTGTCACTATAGCTCGCCACTTCAACAGGGGCGCGCAGCTGTTCGCTGTTTGCTTACGCGAGTTGGAAGTTGACACCGACAGAAAGGACATCGAGAAGCTGTGTGCAGCTGTACCGCTGGATTTAGCGGAGCTGATTCAAAGGTATCCCAACATTTTCCCCGACGATCTGCCACCTGGACTGCCACCCGAGAGACCTGAGGACCACAAAATCCAACTGGAACCTGGCGCGCAGCCGACTGTTCGGACACAGTGGCGGTTGACCCAGCCGGAACTCGAGGAGCTGCGAAGTCAAATTGACGCACTGTTGGAGAAAGGATTCATTCGGGCCAGCACATCTCCCTTCGCAGCACCGATCCTGTTCACTCAGAAAAAGGACGGCAGGCTTCGCATGTGCATCGACTATCGCGCGCTCAACGGGGTCACCATCAAGTCTCGCTACCCAATCCCTCGCACCGACGACCTCCTCGACCAACTTCGCGGCGCTCGCTATTTCTCGAAGATCGACTTACGTGGCGGTTACCACCAGATTCGAGTCTTCGCCGACGACTGTCACAAGACTGCGTTTCGCACACGCTACGAGAGTTACGAATTCACGGTGATGCCTTTCGGCCTCACGAACGCGCCTTCGACATTTCAGTTAACCATGAACAGGCTTTTTCGGGATCTTCTAGACCGATGTGTCATCGTCTACTTGGACGATATCCTGATTTTTAGCAAGACACGGGACCAGCATCTCCGCGACCTCGATGCAGTGTTTAAGCGGTTGCAGGAGAATCGACTCATCACCAAGGGCTCTAAGTGCGAGTTTTTTAAGCAGGAGTTGGAGTTTTTGGGCCACGTCATCTCACGCGACGGTATTAAAATTGACCCAGCGAAAATCAAGACCATAGAGGAGTGGAAGTCCCCGACGAACGTCACGGAACTACAGAGTTTTTTGGGATTCGTGAATTACGTCAGGCGGTTTATCCCGAATATGGCGGGGAAAACCGGCCCGCTGACCGACCTGCTGCACAAGGACATGAATTTTGTGTGGGGGGAGGAGGCAGAGGCGGCTTTCCAGGAGCTCAAGAATTTTCTCGTTTCCCCTCCTGTGCTGCGCATCGCCGACCCATCGAAGCCGTTCGAAGTCGTAACCGACGCCTCTGATTTTGCCATCGGAGCTGTGCTACTCCAGGATTTCGGGGACGGGTTGCAGCCGATAGCCTACGAATCACGCAAGCTGCAGGCAGCCGAACGCAACTACCCGATTCACGACAAGGAGATGCTCGCCATTATTCACGCGTTCAAACTGTGGCGCTGCTATTTAGTGGGCGCCGACGTCACTGTTCGCACGGACCACAAATCCCTACAGTATCTGCGAGCCCAGCCCAACCTCAACCCGCGACAAATTCGGTGGCTGGACTACATGGAGAGCCACTTCACCTACCGCATCACGTACAAAAAAGGGGCGAATAACATCGCCGACGCCCTGACCCGACCGACAGTACAATCCGCTGCAGTACTCATCACCCACTCGAACCCGTTACTTACCGGACTATTCACCCACGGCTACACTACGGACCCGTTCTTCACGACCGGGAATCATCAGCAGGCCACGCCGCAGAAAGGGGATTATTACCTAAAAGCCGGAACTGGCCGGATTTGGGTCCCCTCTTACCGGCTGCTGCGTGAACTCCTTATCCAAGAAGTCCATGATTCCAACTTCTCCGGACACTTCGGGGTTGACAAAACCCATAAATTGTTGCACCGTCAATATTACTGGCCTGACTCCTCTAACGGCGTGCAGCGATATGTGTCCTCATGCAGGGTGTGCCAAGCCATGAAATCGACACGTCAACGACCATCTGGGCTGCTGCAACCCCTCGAGCCACCCGAACGACCGTGGTAGCAAGTGACAATGGATTTTGTCACGGGGATGCTAGCTGGGCCGTCCGGCAACGACGCTGTTCTCGTCGTCGTCGATCGTCTCACGAAAATGGCGCACTTCGCACCTTGTCGTACCACAATCACAGCCGAGGAAACTGCGCGCCTCTTCATCTCAACGGTCGTGCGACTGCACGGAATCCCTTCGGCGATCATCAGCGATCGAGATCCGAAATTCACATCGAAGTTTTGGAAGGAGACATGGGCGCAGTACGGCACTAAGCTACAGTTCTCATCGGCATACCACCCACAGACGGGCGGCCAGACCGAGCGGACCAATCA